ATTGTTTGTGACTAAACATTATTAGATTTCATATCTACACTACATGTATGGATATTTATGTCAGCTTCTGGTATAAAGCACGGTTTAGAAATGTAGTGAGCTGCTTCCTTCGCTATACTTTGCCTTACTCAAACCACGTGTAATGGGCAATTTTTTTGCATTAAGGTAAAATCAATCAGGATGACAGATTAAACGTGACCTCTGCCACAAACACTTCACATACATCGAAGTGGCTACAACAACCAGCTCTATGTGAGCTTGCTCAAACTGTGGTATTGGCGAACACACCTTCTATTCAATGAATATTTTTGCGCAAAAAGTGCTTTTGAGCTGCTCCATAAATCCCCATGCCACGCAGTGTTTGTGTGGGGACACACAGCAGCCGATTTTAAAACACCGACTGCCACGCAAGAACCGAAGTCTCGCCCACATGCCGTAGCCTCGCCCGTTAAGTATCACTGCCACAACGTCGTTGCTTTAGGCTAGACGCCAGCCGGCTGTTGGAGCTTTCTGTGTGGGCAGACAGGTGTGCGTGTGGCACTGTGACAATATGTCTCTTTGTAATACGTCAACATAATCTTAGGTGAGTAATCTGGCACCTTTTTCACTGCCACTGTCACTGTTGCTGCCATAATGTCACAGGGCGCTGCACCAACCGGGACATAGTTCAGCTACAGCCGGCAGCAACATCCGCCCACACTCAACTGAAAATCCGTCATTTTCATTATAGCTGTTGCGGTGGCAGCTTTACGAAGTTCAGTCGTAAGACCGAGTCACGTGTGTGGCGTAGGTAATGCCAAGTTGTGGTGTGAATGATACGCAACCTTTTCAACTCAGCTGCATTATCGGCTGCCACAAGCGTGCTTCTGTCTATTCGATGTGAATACTGTGCATAAATAGCATTAATCTTTGGCCAAAAATAAATCGAGCTGAATGCATTCTTTCAAGTGTTCGTATAGTCACAAGAATACAAGTATATCAAAGCGAGAAGAAGTTGGTCGCCGTTGCTTAAATGTCCGCTAGCTTTTCTATTAAAGTTTTACAAATATTTTTCTAAATTAGTGTTCGCAATAACTTTGTTCAAACATCAGCCTAAAACCTTAGATATAACGGTACACCTTTGAAAAACCTATGAGCAGAACGCAAGCTCTCACGGTCAACTATATTGTGATTACGGAGGATGATACTTGTTGAAACCTTCACTAGCACCAGAAATATATATATCATACTGGTTGGATCCGACTGCAACCGAACTCAGCACTTACTTACTTTATTCTACACACTATTACAAATCAACCGAGCGTTGCAAGTAGCAGACAAAGCGTTACACTTGAATCTATTGACAGCTAACGGCACTCATCGTTGTAGCCACAAAGGGCTTTTGTTCAGGCATTCACAATATGCAAGCACTTCTCGCCTACCTTTTTGCGAGACCGGTCGACAGCAGCAGCATATCATTGCATGCATATATATGTGTATATATTTCCCGATGACGTTAAACATTTCAGCACAGCTTAGTGGGAATTTATTGCCAAAGCTTGTTGTCAGTGTAAATTGACCGTGGCACAAGCCCACGTCATTGTCCTGCCAGCGGTGTGAGTAGACGGCCAAGAATTGAAGGAATT